TCTGAAAAACACAACTTCATAAACCATATGTTTGCAGAAATTTAAGCAGATGTTTTTTATTGAATAGCAAGAAATTCTTTAAATCTGCAACATACAAACATTTCTCATTTTTAGACTATAATTTTCTGCATTTTCCTTAATTTCATATATGAGCTCATTAGATGTGGAAGGTTTTCAGAAACATTTTGGTGCCCAGAATGTAAGGATGAAGGTCACAACTCGCTTACCAAACATGCCCAGGACAAAGGTGGACAGCAGGAGGGATACTGGTGAGCTCCCTGAAGCCATGTTTGACCTTGATCTTGACCCTGTTGTATGTAATGGAATTGATACTTCATCCCACTGTTACATGCTGTCTGTAACCTTGAGAGTTTTGGTTGCCCTCTGCACTTACTCTGTTCACTGACATGAAAGGTGTAATTTTATAGAGTGGCAGGTTTGCTATTTACAAGCCAATAAGGAAGCAAGCCTTCTTGCCCAAACCTTGTTTTCATTGGCAGGCATGGGGTAGGATGAAATGGACTTATTGATAAAGAAATGGACGTGCCATTTCCTGGGAGTGAGACTGTATCATCGTGAAGGGAGGGGTTCAATGCCAGTTGCACTTAGTGGTAACACAGAAATGAGTCATGAAAGCATCTTTGCAGTTATACAAAGACCATGCTTGTACCAAGGAGGGAATTCAGGTGATTTAAAGTTATTTTTCTCAACAAAAATTTGCTTTTGGTTTTTGCACCTCTGCATAATCTCATCAACAACTTAATAGAATTGGCCAGGCAAAAACTATCCATACTGCAAACACAGAATATCAAAAAATGGAGTTGAGATGACAAACCCTTGACATGTCAAGAATAGAAAACTATAATTCACTTGTCTGAATGTGGCAGGTTTGATGGGCCTGTAGCTGAATTGAGTAACAGTGAACAATGAGCTTTAGTGTTCATTTTATTTTGCTTCCCCATAAAGAAGTTTCGTTAGGTAATCACCATTATTCCGTACTGACCACTTTTTTTTTGTTTATTTTTGCACTGATAAATCAAAGCATTAGTAATAGTTCCCTAGGATTTCCCTATCGAAATATTTCAGACTGAGTGGTTGAAACAATAGAAACCTAACCAAACCCAGTACTTGGCAGGGTGGGGCTCCTTTCAGGAAGGCTAAAGGAACAGGAAAAGAATCACTCATTTAGCCCTGCTCAGGCTATCCCATCACCCAGCCAACTTGTGTTCTATAGCCAGAATACAATACCAATTGCTTCAAGTTGTTATCTTTTGGGGAAACAATACTAACCAATGGTTAGTTAACTTTACAGGTCACATAATGATGTTGAACCCTTTCTTATTTCAAATCACTTAGCTACAATATTTCTTTGAGTATGCTCTACAGGTACTCCAGCTTTGCATGGCTGTCTTACTGATGAGCATTATGAGGCTGGTTCTGCAAATTTTAAAAAGCCAACCCTAAAACCTAGGCTATGCAAAGAATTCTCTTCAGTAATCCTGAGAATTGAATCTCATGAAACGAGTTCAACTAAATACCAGGAGGCAGAATTCTAGGCCACTGCTGCAAGAAAATAGTTCAGTCATTTGTAACTCCGAGCTAATTTGATCTCCGAGCTTCTGTAGTTTCATGGATAAAATGGTAAGACTGGTGTATGTGTGTGTGTGTGTGTGTGTGTGTGTGCGTGTGTTATCTCTCAGATTTTGAGACAAACTCCTGCCTGGCTGCCAAGAGCTCAGTCCCTTATCTTAATATTTGACTTGTGTTTTTCCTCTTTAGGCTATCTGGTTTCTTTTATCAGAGAATTGTTGAGAGTGACAGGAACTGATTCAACCAACCCTCGTTTGACATGTTTATCACTGTTAGTGTGGAGAGAATGGCATCAGCAGGCATGCCTGCCTTCTCCCTGTGAAAAGAAGGGCCTGGATGTGGTTGAAGAGATTCTTTCCCTTGGCCTTTAGGCCTTATGGGTCAAGCTTCTAGGTTTTAAGTTAAGTGCAGCCAAGGAAGACACATCAGAGCGTGATGCCTGGCTCCTTCAGCCAAGTAAACAGAGCAGCTCTAATGTCTTGCAGTTTAAAATGGATTCATGTTTTCAGCAGAATCCTAAGGAGAAAGTTTGTGGTCTGTCCTTGGGAGGACCACTGCTCACTTGACACTTAGTACTGTATATTCTCCCATCAGTGTTCATTCTTACTCGGCTTCACTTCAGTACTCCTTCCTCCTGATTTGCTAGTATCAGATTCCTTAATGGAGTTTCCCAAGTAGAGTCTGTGATGAGGACTTAAGTGTGCAAGTTTCATCTTGGAGATGACCCCAAAAATAAAAAGTGAAGGAGCAGAGAAAAGTAGTAAGTAAATAATAGAGAAAAAGTAAAAAAAAAAAAGAAAGATACAATAAATGAGATATCCCTGTGTGTAACTAGGATGAATTCAGGTATAGAGCCAGGAAACTTTGTAAAATGGTCCTCAGAATTGTGCCTGCATGGCTTTTTTTTCCAGCCATGTTGTAACTCCTCACCATAAACAACTCTAAAACCCATCAGGATGTGTGGAACAGCATTGTTAGATACTGGACAACAGGTATCTTTCTCATCTCATCTCTAGTTAGTAACCTTGGGGAGATAGATAGTTATTTTTAACTATCTTAGGTGAGAATTAAAGCTCACTGAGATTGCTTCTTGTTCTTTGAGGTCCTTCCTTACCCAACCGCTTGGGACAGCCAGAGTTTGGTCTAAGCGCTGAGGAAGCCATCCTTGCCTTCTTCCCTCTCTTGCAGGCATGTACCAAGAGCTCAGGATCTCCTGAATGAACCAAGAACCTGAGACAGTAACACATCCACTCCCCGCCTCACACAATAATTAATGGGCCTTCCCAGCTCTGGCCTGCGATTTCTCCTCTGCTGCTGTGGTCTTGGGCCTGACAGTTTCCCTTCTGTCCGGGAAACATGTCCTCCTGAGACAGCATTGAGTACTGGACTACTGGGAGAGTTTCCTCAGGAAAATCAATCTGTAAATTTCCATAAAAATCTCAACTAGAGAGGGTAGAACCAGCATAGTCAAATTAAAAAAACCATTATGTTAAAAGCCAGGCAGTTAGGTAGTGGCTAAGTCATCTGTGTGCCACGTCAAAGTACTTCAATGTGACACCGGGCTTCATCTTCCAATGACTGTGGACTTGGGGAGGCAATGCTGATGGCTCAAGCACATGGGTGGCCTACAGTGCATTCCTCACTCCTGGCTCTGACCCTGGTTCATTAGTCATTGCAGGAACTTAAGGAAATGAACCAGCATACGTAAGTTCATTCCCTGTCTCTCAAATTAGGAAAAGCTCAAGCCCCCTATGTGTTGTGTATTCATATATAAAATATTAGAATAATATTAAATTTAATGGTAGTTATTGATAGGAAAAGATTAAAAAGTTGAACCCCAATCTCAACTAAATCTTTTCATAATTAACACATTCAGCGAGTCACTTTTCCTGCCTCTACAGATGACACAAGCTCTGAGTTTGGAGGAGAAACTCAAACTTTCCCCCAATTAATTGCTGGCCTCATTAACTTGTCAACAAGTGCTTGAAAAGCTATTCAGCAAAAGTAATAAAATGAGAGTTTTCCTAAGACAGATATACAAATTAAAACATTTTTAAGGATGAAAAAAATGAGAAGCAAGGGACATTTCATTATCGAGAGAGAAACCAGCCATATGTGTTAGTGACTTTCAGAGGAAATGCAGTTTGGAAAAGCATATTCTTTCATGTTTTTAAAAAAGTAAGCCATGGCTTGAGAGTTAGTACCAGATGAAATGGGACATGACTTGCATTTTGATTTACCCATGGAGCAAATTTAGTTCCCAGAAGGAGGAAAATCAAAGTTGAGAAACACCGATAACAAAAGATCAGATTATTCAGTCAATACATCGTTATATTCCCCAGAAAATAAAACAAACATCGTTTATTTTTAACCATTTTATTGCAAAGATTCTGTTACAACATCGAAAAATAATTGGTTCTCTGTTCTAGGACAGAGACCTATTGCACAGCTCACATTTAAACAAGGCATTGTGCCTTACCAAGAAGACATAAAATGTCCAAAGGATAATGTACTTTCCAAAGCTCCAACAAGCTACAAATGTTGGCTGCGTAGTGGGAAATTAACTCTATAAATAACAACTGACCTTCTCTGAAACAATAACTTGAAAGCAGGCATTCACCTACATCACTACACCCTGGTCGCAGACTCAGTGTCTACTTGCTTGCATCTTTCAGTCTCTACCACGTGACTGCCACATGCCGGATACAGAAACATAATAATGACAGAACATTGAAAAAAAAAAACAACAACAACCTTATTCCATCCAATAAATAAGAATCAGGATTGAATGAACTTGGGTTTGATATACCATAAGCAATACATAACATGGTATAGTAAGCAAAACGAGTAAATTTCATCCTCCATTCTTTTACAAGCAAAATACAGAATCTGGAATCTACGCAAATAAATAAGTAACAGAACTCTTAGATGCTCGAAGACAGCTCAGGCCAGGCAGTTCAGAGCTATTTCTTCTCTGTCCTCTTCCTACTTCTTCCTCCAAGCCCAGGTCAGCTGGAGTTGCCACTAGAGAGAGGGAGAGAGAAGGGCTGTCTTCAGCAGGTGCTCAGAAAGTTGACTGCACCGTTTCTGTCCTCCTTGGGTCGCAGGCTTTTGAGTGCACTTGCCCCAGCTCGACGTTCAAGCGGCTACTACCTACCTGTCTGCTGTGTGTTAGCTCCGCTGGACTGGCAGCGGTCTTAGGAATTAGGGTTAAGCAGAGTGCTGAGAAAGGATCAGGGTGGATATGAGGAACATAAAATGTCCTCTGTCCCCATTCCATCATTAGTCTACGTGGCAAACTTGATGGTGGAAGGATTGAATGTTGTCTCTGTCTGGCAGCACCACCTGCCCCCTCCAGAGAATATTGGCAGGGGCAAAGCCAGGGGTGGGAAAGAGGGGCCCTCACTCACCTGCTGAGCATCTTCTGCAGGAATTTCTTTACCATGGGGGCCTCGGGGTTGAGACAAATTTTCTGCCCAGTCTTGAGAGTGGCTCTGTGGGGAGGAGGGAGGACCTCGTGAGGCAGAGGTCAGGCCAGAGCAGGGGGCGGGGGCAGGGAGCAGGGCAGGAGCAGCAGTGGCCAGGGCACCAGAGGGAACTTACATGACTTCAGTCCGGTCGCAGTTCGGACCTGGGGGCGTTATATTGAAGCTCTGAAGGATCTTGGAGTGAATTCCCTGCACCATCTGCAAGCACTGGCAGCGCAGTTCGGGGGGCGCGGGCGCTCCTGTGGGAAGCAGAGACTCTGTGAGCAAGGCTGCGCGGGGCGCGCACCTCCGCCCCAGTGGCGTCCCGTGCGGGGTTGGCTGGCGCGGGGACTCACCTGCTGCGCGCCGGTCGGCGGCCACCAGGAGCAGCAGCAGCAGCAGTGTGGCCCGCAGGAGCCGGGGAGCGCGGGGCGCGGCGGGGAGCGCGGCGTGGGCCATGGAGCTCGGTGGCTGCGGGTCTCGGAGCGGGTCAGCTGTGGGTGGTGTGGTCTTGTGGACTGTGTGTCTCCTGGAGAAGGGATAAGGTCTTTTATGCCTGATGGATGGGGCGGGGAGCACAGGAGCTGGGTGCTGGGAAATTCCCGGGGCTCCAGTTGGTTCCCTGACCCGGGAGGAAGGACACCGGCCCAGGGCTAGGCGGGAGGAGTTTGTAGCCAAGGGCTTTTGTGTAACTGTCCCGGTCTCTGCGATCCTGGGGTCCAAGATTTCTCCCCCAAATCCTTGGGGAGATGATAGCTGCGCCAGTCACCGGCTGCCAGGAACGCAGTTGTCATGTCGGATTCGAGTAAGAATGCTTGACTTGTTACTCCAGTGATTTGTTCTCCAGTTTCCTGCGGATTTTCTTTTGAGTGGCGTTTGGGATAAGTATCAGAAGCCGGTACCGCTTTGGCTGTGGTGATAGCAACGGCGGGAACGAGACTTCTAGCTTCCTGCATGTCTCCCCCTTCCCTTCAGTGGAAGGCTGGAATTTGAGAAATTCTCTGGAAGTTTGCTCTTCCACGCAAGAGGGATTCAGATTTAGTTTGTGGAAGGCGCATGGGCTGCCAGGGCGAGGCTGCGAATTTACTAGCCTGAAGTCTGGGAAAGGAATTGCTTTCGTTTATCATTGGATTTTTAACAGCGTTGATGAACCTCCAAGTTGGATTCGGAATAGGATGCGAACTGAAAGAGAAGGGATCGACCTGGCCCCAGAACAGGTTCAGCCCAATCCCACTCCAGGAAGAAGCACCCTGCCCTTGCCAAAAACGCAGGACAGGCAGCTCTGTCCTCTGGGTTGATTCCGTGCTGTCACGTGCACGTGCCTTACTGAGTAAAGCGAATTAACATTGATTGGGAGCCAGCCAGATGGGACACCTTGCAGGACTGTTAACTAAACAAAATGGAAAGAGCTTCTTTCAAGTTTGTCCAAACAGAAACTCAATCTTCTAGGAAGAGGTTAGGGTGAGGAGGGGGATTGATGGACAGGATCCCTCCCCAGTTGTTCTTTCCGTGTTGAACCTGTTGGGTAGGAGCTGCTGACAACCAGCTGCCTGTATACAACACCCCAGGGAGAAGCTCGCCCTTTAGGAAGTAAGGCAGATCCTCGGAGTGAGGATACTCACATGAGCACGCCCTTCTGCTTCTCAGTGCCCAGGAGTTACCCGTGCTGGCTGGCATCTGGGGCAAGGGTGGACAGGGGTGCAGGAATGTTGTGTTGGCTTGAAGCAAACGCCATAGACAGACTATGAGCTCTGGCCTGTCCAATCATTTCTTTATCTCCAGGCCTTGAGCTCCACATCAGCAAGGATATGAGGAGGCCAAGACAGAATGTGTCTCACATGTCACCTGCAAATTGGAGCTGTAGCAAACACTGCAGACATCTGCATTTTACAGACCTGGTTGAGAATTTACACAAATTAAAATGAATAAGATATTCTGTTCTAAAAGAAAAAATACTTGCATTGCAATGCCTTTTTACTTCTTTACTTCTGAGATAATTTATCATTTACTTTTGTAGTCTCAATCATTTCAGTTATAAATGAGGTTTTGAATAAAAGACTATCTTGCTTATTAGGAAAGATGTTTGAAATGAATGACTTTTTCAAAAATACATCAATATTAGTATGCTTTAATGAGAAAAGCTAGGGACAGTAAAGGGAGATTAATATTTGCATCAAAGAATAGGAAATCAGAAATAATCTCAGGCTTATGACATATAGGACTAGTACATGAATAGCCAAGTATGTGTGGCTACTCCTCTTACTATATTCTTTTCCTGGCATTTCAGGAAAAAAAAAGTCCAGAAATATGAAAGTGAGTCTTTAAAATTTGAAAAAACTGTATTATTTGATTTCTAATTTGAATAGTTATACTTGTTCATACCATAAGATTTATAAAAGTCAGAAAGATCATGAAAAATTGTTTCTCCCTTAAGCCTGGTGCAATGGCTCAGTGGCTAAATTCTCACCTTGCATGCACCAGGATCCCACATGGGCACTGGTTTGTGCCCTGGCTGCCCCACTTCCCATCCAACTCCCTGCTTATAGTCTGGGAAAGCAGTGGAGTATGGCTCAAAGCCATGGGACCCTGCCTGTCTGTGGGAGACTTAGAAGAGGCTCCTGGCTCCTGGCCTTGCATCAGCTCAGCCCCGGCCATTACAGTCACTTGGAGAGTGAATTAGTGGACAGAACATCTTTCTCTGTCTCCCCTTCTCTCCATACATGTGCCTTTCCAGTAAAAATAAATACATCTTCAAAAAATTTTCCTCTCTTAATCTACCTTAATTTTTTGCCTATCGAGCAAACTTTAAATGATCTTTGAGTTTTTGCTGCTTTTTCAATGACAAATAAAATAATTACTTCAAAAACGTACAGGATTAGTGGACACGATACATGCCACTGCCTCTATTTAATTTCCACATACCATAGGCAACTGGTTGAACTTCAGCATCTACCAGTAGGTTCACAACGTTAATTTTTTTTTGTCTTTTAAGCACTTTACAAAAATTAACTCATTCAATCTTCTAAAAGATCCTATAAAGCAGGTACTATCGTTAGCTTTATGGGAGTTTCAGAGAGATTAAGATTAAGGTTAGAAAACTTTAAGTAACTTCTAAAGATCCTCTATCCTTGAGCCTAGAAGGGGAATCTGGAGGAAACTACCTCTTAATTATTATAGTATAATTAAAAAGTTCTGTGATAGAGGACTAATAATCTCGGGTAAGGAGTGCTTTAAAAAAAAAAACTTTTAGAGATCTGTTTATTTTTACTGGAAAGGCATATCGGGATTTACAGAGAAGAGACACAAAGAAAAACATCTTCCACCTGCTGGTTCACTACCCAAATGGCCACAATGACCCAAGCTAAGCCAATTTGAGGTGAGGAGCCAGGAGCTTCTTCCAGGTTTCCCACATGAGTACAGGCTCCCAAGGTATTGGGCCATTCTTGGCTGCTCTCCTCTGCCACATGCAGGGAGCTGGATGGGAAGTGGAGCAGCCAGGACAATAACTGGTGCCCGCATGGCATCCCGATGCATGCAAGGTGAAGATTTAGCCATTGAGCCATTGCACATAGTTCCATAGTTTGAATAATTTTTTTTTTCTAAATGAAAATTAGCGAAATGATCCTAGAGTCTTATGAGCTTGTTTCATCAACAGCAGAACTCTTCTGTGGTGCTGACATAGCTTTCTGTGTTTTCTTATAATTCTCAATTCTGAAAAACAAAATAGTGCCCTTACGGAGGAACCTGGTGAATTATCCCTTGAGCAAATGAAGTTGGACATCCTCACTGTGCTGTCATATTGAATGTTATTCTCAGGGCACAAGAAGTATTCTTCATTTCTATGATATTCTTTCCAAAAACTTAGAACTCAGACTTAGTGTCCTTAAAACTCCACTTCAAATCTGCTTAGTTTGTGAAAAGTAAAAAAGGCCTAGAAATCACCACAGTCTGGGGCCACGTGTGTTGTGTGCTGCGTGCAGCTCTAACATCCAGTCTTGGATCATGGGTTTTAATTCCAGCTGCTCCACTTACTCTCTAGCTCCTTGTTAGTGTGCCTGGGAAGGTACTACAAAATAGCTCCAGTCCTTGGACCCCAGTCAGTAACTCAGGAGATGCAGACGGAGTTGCTGGTTCCTGACTTCACCCTTATCCAACTCTGGCTGTGTGGGCATTTAGGGAATGAATCAACCTGTGGAAAATATCTATTGTGTTCTGTCTCTCTCTTTCTCTGTATCTTTTTCTACCACCCTATCTTTCAAATAAAGTTCAAAAAAGGAAAAGAAATGTACATGGAGAAAGCTGTGGCAGACCCCACAACTCACTGCAGTATAGGATTGGATACTGGAGAAGAAAACCAATACAATTCAATGAAAACCTTGAGTTCACTTAAGAGTAGCCTGTCAATGTTAGTGTTGCAGCTTTCGTAGTATTGTTAAATGTTCACAGTTGGAGAATCTGGGTGATAGGTCCTCCACCATTACAATATCTTTGCAACTTCCATAAATTTAAAATTGATAAAAAATAATAGTGTTTAATTTTTAAAACTTTTCTTTTTTAAAGCAACTTCAATACCACCCAAGTGAAATTAATAAACATAAACAAGGGAACTGGACAAAACTTGTGGGAAAATGTGACCAACTGCTGCTCATTTTCAGGCAAAACATTTTTTAAATCCATGTGTATATTTTCATAATACGCACCTTGGAACTTTTTGAAGATGGTCTTTATGCATGTATTACTATTTTGCATCAAAATAAACTTTAATTCTATGTTCCTGAACCTTTTGAAGTCCCCTAATGTGGCTCACTGATAGCTTTCTAGAAAGGAAACTGAGTTTTTGCTCAACTATGAAAGTGAAGACTACTGATTGCTGCAATAATCCACTTTATCATATTTTATTGGATTAATAGCTCCCTTTATCGTTAATCTCACTGCCCCAATCTGTCATCAGTTCTTGTAACTTGATGAAAAAGAAAAGTATTTGCTGCATTGGTGTCCAGATCCAGCCCTAAATGACGTAAATGAGAGGACACAGGGAGAGTGGGGCAGTGAGAGCTGGCAAGAGAGTAAAGGATGTGAGCCGTGTCAAGAAGTAGCCAACATCTGTAGACCATGCAGAAACTTGGCTCCTGGGAAGAACTAAATCAAAACCACCCGCAAATGAAGTATAAGGCAAAGATTTGTTGCTGTCCCTTTCTCCTTAAAAGGCTGCGTTGAGTTCTAGAGATCTCCATAAGTAGAAGCGTGAGATTTACCAGCACAGGGATTCTGCTGTCTAGTACAATAAGCAAGCTTCTTTAAAAGCTTTTAAGTTAACTAATTTTTAAAAATATTCTATTAAAATACAGATGCACAAAAGTGTGCAGATAAATGAATGTTGTGCTCTCCTAGTATACTCACAACCAACACCTATGACAAGAACAACGCATTGCTAGGACCCCAGGACCCTATTCTCACTC